TTGTTTACACTTATGAAACTTTACAGAATAGCCACTTTGGTGGGGCTATGCATTTTCTTCCCACTTGCAGCTGAATTAGCTGTTTTAACAGAAGTCAGTAGTAGAGAGTATAATCTGCTCTAGTAATATAGCCCTGATGATATCAAAGTACACACTCTAGCATTTGAGATAGTTTGTAGGACTGATAAAAGTTTAATTTGGCTCAACACTAAGTAGGGTTACCAGTTGGAAAAAACATTGTTTTCTACTTAATAGTCTGAGAGAGATTGAGTTCTGTAGCTGTAGACTAGCAGGATCATTCTGTTTAAGCTCACTGAAACTCTTATGTGCTACAGTAGTATTGTATGGAAACAGATACTCCTCTGTTTTTCAGGGTTTCTCTATGCCTAAAACTGCAACAGCAACCAAAATAAATACACATTTCTTAGTTCACCTAAATGTTATATTTTAGAACAGGAACACTCAGACAATGGGCTTGCTCCAGATTTTCATTGTGTACTTTACTTGGACTTTAAAATTGATGAATATGTTGTTACCCGCATTTGTGGGGATGGATGATCTTGAATTGTTCTCTTCCAGTGTCATGGTACAGTACTGCCTCCAAGGCAGCACATAATCCATGGCTATCACAGCAAAATGAGCTGGCATGCTACTTCTGCTGAAAGGACTTCAGTAAAATTTTAGAGGATTTCTTGTCAAAGTTGACCAGAAGATCTCTGTTAAAGAAAGGGAATTCTTCTGATCCGACATTGAAGGAATGTCAAACAAAGATACTGAAAATAGATTTAAAGTGCTGGAAATGGTAGCTTAGAGGAAGTTTGGGATGTACTTTTGGAGAAAACTTCTCTTCCCGCAGCCCCTTTTATGTCTGTATATTTTTCATTAGAATCTGGGCTATGATTCTGGGCAAAGCTGCAAGAGTGTGAATGAATTACTTGCTAGTTCTAATCCCCAGATAGAGGAGTAACCATTTGATTTACGCTGGGACATTTGAGATGGCATCTTGGCCTCAGTGAGTGCAAGGAAAACTTTACCACTGACTTCACTATGGCTTGTATCTACACCTTGAAAGCTGAAGCTCAGTTACTGACCTCTGGAATCATGTGTCAGACACTCCAAAGATATTCTAGCAGCTCCAGAAAAAGAAGTGAATGATCATTGGCATTTCTAATATATGAGTGTATGTATGTGCATTTATGTATTTAAAACTGCCATAAGGAACTGCCATAAGAAAGAGTAAGGAAAAAAAACCCAACTTTGTTACATTGTAACATTAAATGAAGCAAAGTTATATTCTCAAGTAGTAGCCAAGGGCTTGCTTTAATGTCAGGAAAAAATAGTCTTTCAAATGTATAACTTGCTGAAGTATGACATGCTATACAGGTAGCTGGTTCTAGTGCATATTAAGCCATACCCAATCAAATGAGGGCTTTCTGTTACATGCAATATCAAAAGCTCAGTGAGGAATGTCAAAGCATAGGATTACTTCTGCAATTCAAATACCTGCAACTTTGGGTTAAAGCAAGCTTTAGCTTTGCTTTATGTAAACTGCCAAGTCTAAAGAATACATTCACCACAATAACAGCATGCCAGCTCAGGTATGGTTTCCTCTAGTTTTCTCTGTTTTTGTCTTAAGTTATGCTGTAGAAACTGCGACAGTAACTTTACCTGGGGGTGTTCCTGAATAATCCAAACAGTAGTCCAAATCCTACTTTACCAATACTGCAAGATGCTAATAGATTCAGTTATTGTTCGAATCTCTGCTATGTGGCTGAAGGATAAGGTGCGTGTGTGTGTGTTGCTCCAGTGTAATACAGCAGCCAGAAATCCCTGTTCCTGTCCCTGTGTGTAGCAATACTAGGGTTGATGTGTATCACATGCCTTCTGCCAAATATGAATGAGGGTCCTTGGTTATAAAACCTGAAGTTTTTAATTAGTGAATTTGAGTTGTCCAAGGAGAAAAAAATCTGGGTTTTGTACCTGAGATGCTTTGAAAAACACATCTCAAATTATAACAATTTTGGTAAATACTTGCTTTGAGATACTTCTAGGTTGTATTTTAAGATTTTATGAATATTTATTTACAAAATAAGTGCAGGAAGTATGGCTGCATCCAGCACTCTCTTGTACTTTGAGATGTGGTTTTGGTATACACAAGTCTTTCTGCCATGATGTAGGAATGATGTGCTTGGCATAAGGAGGAGGAAGGAATGAACTTAATAGGGAGACCTACATATGAATATGAATAAGCTGACACTTTATTTCATATCCTTTTGGGAGCTTGAATGGGCTATGTAAGTTATGTAGAGGTAAATACCTTCTTGGGAAACATGCGAAGTCAGGAGGTTAACGACTACGTTAATTAGGAAGATGCCGTTTTTGTGAATTAGCACTTTGGTCAAAATTTCACAGTTCAGATGTATTCTTCTGAAGCAGTTGACACTGTCAAACAGTTGAGCTTTATAGCTTTGTACTCTGCAATGTTTTTCAGTGTATTTTGTGAATAATAATTATTTTTGAAGAGGTATTATTACCACAGATCATTATATATATATCTTGAGTGAGAAGCTCTGTGTGTGTGTTTACTGAATTAGTCAAAAAAGCATTTTGATCTGAATTTGTGTTTCAATGTACTAAATTTAATAACTGTCATTACTAGCTTTAAGGTACATCATGAGAGCGTTAACATCGTCAATGTTAATTATTTTCCACAACAAGTGTTTAAAATATATATAGCACCTACAGGGACAAATTCTGCTGTTTCTTAAAGACAATTTTTTTTACAGCACACTTAAATTTCTTTCTAAAAGAAAGGGTTTTTTCTTAAATGCTGCTACAGGGTTTGGTTTTGTTTTGTTTTCAAGTACCTTCAGACAGTAAGTTATAAGGTGAATTGCGGTGATTATTTAAAGCTCTTTTCTGTGTCCTGGCCATGGTATTTTTTGAACAGTCTGAAATGAGTTGTATGTATATGATCAAAGGGGCCTGAAAGCTAAACCCTGAATTAGTATGAAATAGACATCCCAGTCATATACCCTTTTCCCAGTTATTCAGAAGTTAGGGAATATGAGTAGTGTTATGGGGTCTTAACTTACTCTGTCTTAACTTCAAGATGATGCCATCATGTTAGTGCAACACAAGTGTCAGTTCTCAGGTTTGAAAAAGAGCAGCATTAGAGGATACCTGATAAAGAGGGGAGCTGCACCTCTTAGGAATTAATGATACTCACATACATCATGGCTGGCTCTGAAAATAACTAGCTTTGCTCCTTAGGACAAATTTATCTCATTAGCAGAACAGGTTTCCATAGGAATGCTAGGCATTTCATATGATCTGCATGTGACTTGTGAACAGCTGGCACGTCTGAGGTGATCAAATTACCCAAGACCTCACTTAGAGAAAAAGAATAAATTCCTTCAGGAAGGATGGGAAGAAGCTTCAGTACTGGAGGAGCAGGACGGCCATGCTGAGACCTTTGCCTGGTCTCTCTCTATACATTTTAAGGATGTCTAAAAGATTGAATTTTTTATTTCTTCTGTCTTACTTATCTAGCGTGAGGGCAAATATCCAGAAATAGTAGAGAATACTGTGGATTCCTGGATTGTTAGAAGAGATTAGGCATGCCTTCGGGTGAATTCCCTTGCCTGCTCAGGCTCACTGACATTACTAGCACAAAAGGAACATAATTGCATTGTTTTTGTCCAAAACATTGCTTTCTGGAAGGTAGTCAGGACTGCAGTGTCAGGAGATAACTTCATGTTTGGGAGGGGAGGTTCTCCTGCATCCCATTGCTGTCACTCATGCTGCCTGAATGAGCAGGACTCTGGTAGAAGGAAGGCCTGACCACTTGCTTGCCTGTTCCTGATCCTTTTTGCTGTCATTCTAGAAGGGCTCCATATGCACTTGTTCCTCTCTCGTATTAGTGTTAGCAGAGACCCATCAAAACTGCTGGTTTCACAGCTTATAAATCTGAATGAAGTACTCTCAAAGACACTGAACTGAAGCAGCAGCATCTGTTTTGATCATGTATCTCGATTTTCTTAACCATGAGAACAGGGGACCATGAGGCAGGGACACCTTCCACTAGACCAGGTTGCTCAAAGCCTCATCTGACCTGGCCCCTTGGTTTTCAGCTGTGACTTGATAAATAATAGGATTTTCTGTAGGGCTATGACTAGAGAGGGGAAGAGACTTCTAGAAATATTTACTGCAGTATTTATAATAGCATTTCTATCAGTAGAAATTATTAATATAAGGTATTGATCCATCTATATGCAAAAATATGAGGAAATTAAATATCCTGAAGATCCCATCTAGAAGTCAAAAAAATAAACTTGCAAGTGGGAATGAAATGTGTACTTCTCCACATTCCAGAATGGCTTTCCCTTTTTTCTTGCTGTTCTTCAAAGGGCTTTTCTTGGCCATCATACCACGTGTGCAGTCTGTCAGCAGCACTGAAACTATCTGCTAGTTGTCTGAGTTGGTTCAGCACATAAGGCTAACTTAACTTAGTTACTGTATGGAAGTATTTGTGAAGACATGAGCCATTCACAAGTAGTCTAACACCTGCACTTATCTAAGTTCAGTAACTGGACACATGCATGTCATAAAACATCAGAGTGAAAGCTTGCCAATGGTGAGTATAAATAGAAGTAGTAAAGACTAAAAAAAAAAAAAAAAAGACAGCAGGGTGCTACGAGGATAGGGATTCTCAGCCAGGAATAACTGTGGATTTATCTGGAGTATTGAAGCTTTTTTTCCTCCTCTCCCTCTTTATTTTAGAAGAATCAGCAGGACATTTACTATTCTTAGCAACTCTTCAAAGTATCGCAGGAATCAAATATAAGGCACACTACAACATGCTAGGGTCATCACGCATACAAAGCAATGGGGAGTCAGTGGAAGAAGAACAAAAACTTTAAACATTAAGAATTGTGTCTTATACATCTCTTTCACTCTACCAAAATAATAAATGCTTATTCTTTATCACTTACCTGTCCTTGTGTTTTAGGCCAACACATATGAAAAGTATTGGGGATTTTATCAGAAATTTGGAGGCCAGAGCTTCCCCAAAGACCATTTAAAAAAAGCTATTGCTGAAATTGAAGAGATGTGCAATATTTTGAAAAAAGAAGGTGTAATTGTCAAGAGGCCTGATCCAATTGACTGGTCTGTGAAGTATAAAACACCTGATTTTGAGTCTACAGGTAAATATTCTTCCATTGTTGAAGGCCTTGTCTGTTTAGCATCTGTCTGAGACATTTTGGATGTCATCTAGCCTACCTTCTTGCTTGGAGCAGGATTATTGACAGTGCTAGATGAGGTCAGTGATGGCTTTATGTAGCTACTACTTGGAAAATCTCCAGAGATGGAAAGTGTGCCACCTGGTTTGCTGACCTATTTCAGTGCTGCTGGACTTCCTAACGAAAGACATTTTCCTAATACCTAACTTTAACTTCCCACACCACCATTTGTTGCCAGATTCCCTTACAGTGTTTTCACGGCCACTACCAAGAAGTGTTCAGCTGTCATGTTTAGTGTCCCTGAAAGTATCTGTAGGCTGTTACTGCTTTGTCCCCTACTTGCCACATGCAGTAAGCTGAAGTCTCTCCGCTTCTCCCAGGTCATGTGCTGTAAGGCCACCCTGACTGTCTTGATAGCCCTTTGGTGCGTCCTAGAGTTGGATCTATCTTAAACTATGGAGGCCAAGACTGGAAACAGTTTTCCAGGAGGATCCTCACTAGTGTCAAGGAAATTTGAATGTCCCTTTACCTACTGGCCACATTCCTCCTTCTATAGCACCATGTGGCTTTGGTTATTTGCAGTCAGAGCACACTGGCTCATACTCAGCTTTGCATCAAGCATCGTCTCCAGGCTCCTTGCATGTCAAATGTGTTCTTCAGTTGTTCCAGCGGAATTCTAATTCATTAGGGAGCAGATAATGATAATGAAAAGTACAATAGGACTGCTTCCTGCACAAGTTCTGTGTTACATCAAATTCCTCTTCTGTGCTATTACTTTTTAAAAGGATGGCATATAAAGAAGTGAGGTCCACTTGGAAAACTTGCTGCCCATCACCACTTTTTAAAGTAGTCTGAGTAATGAATAAGTATTTGTCTAGTTAATTTCCATTAACCAGATTATGAAGTGAAGGTTTATAGATTGTGGATGGCTTTCATCTAGCTGTGAACTTGTTATGAGTGAGGCTTTGTAGCAAATTATTGCACGTATTTTGAACAAAAGATGTCACTTTGAAAACTTACTGAAGAATGCAAGGTCCTCAGATTATGTGCTGGTTTCCTGACTTTTGTAAAGATGCTTTTTGCTAGTCTTTCAGCTAGAAGTAATGGTAAAAAGGAGGGTGAAAAGTTAATAAGATGAAAGAGCTGAGAAAAGCATTTTTGTCTAATACATTAATGGCCTTTTTCCTTTCAGGTATGTATGCTGCCATGCCAAGAGACATCCTGTTGGTGGTGGGAAATGAAATCATTGAAGCGCCTATGGCTTGGCGTGCTCGGTTCTTTGAGTACAGAGCATATAGACGAATAATCAAAGATTATTTCAATGCTGGTGCTAAGTGGACAACTGCCCCCAAACCCACAATGGCAGATGAACTCTATGATCAGGTATTGTTCTCATTATGTTGGGGGGAACAAAACAACTCTGGACATTTGTGGTTTTTCTAACATATGCAAATATTTTGCAGCTTTTCCAGGTAAATTGAGTGTGTGCAATTAGGGAATAAGAAACAGGAAGTTGTGCCTATTGAATTCAAATCTGTTATGAATTGTTTTGATTACTGGCTGCAACTTAGCATTACTAAAGAGGAAGGAATACTAGAAAGACATCACAAAGATTACTTTAAAGAAGTAAGACTCCCTGAGAAAGTCTAAATGTCCTGAGTGTATCAGAAAAGTGGGAAAGAATATATTGTTTTTTCACAGAAAAAAACCTCATAATCCTTGTTTTCTTGATAATTAGTATTTTGAAAGTTACATAAAAGAAATAGTGAAGGATCTGAACTGTGAATATTTACCTTCAAAATACTTAAGTGAATATTTTCATAATTTTTTCTTCTGTAATAATTTTGACTCAGACAATTTTGGTAGTTTCTTATGGGCCCCCACATGCTTTCACACCTTTTTTTTTTAATTTATTTATAGGAACAGTGATATCTCATCAATGATGTGAAGAAGTCTTTGTTAAGCAATTCACACCTTTTTTTTTTTTATTTATTTATAGGAACAGTGATATCTCAATGATGTGAAGAAGTCTTTGTTAAGCAAAATTATCCTAGAGCAATCTGTCATTATTAGAAAACTTCCAGAGCCTGTTCTAAAGCATACTTACTTCTTCTCTAAAGTAACAAGTGATAGGACAAGAGGAAATGGCCTCAAGTTGTGCCAGGGGAGGTTTAGGCTGGATATTAGAAAAAAATTTTTCACCAAAAGAGTGATCAGGCATTGGAATAGGCTGCCCAGGGAAGTGGTGGAGTCACCATCCCTGGAGGTGTTCAAGAAACATGTAGATGTGGTGCTTAGGGACATGGTTTAGTGAGTTAGGTGGTGTTGAGTTGACGGTTGGACTTAATGATCCTTGAGGTCTTTTACAACCTTAATTATTCTATTATTCTACTTATTCAGTAGTTTTTGTTTGTGTTGGTTTTTCTACCCCATTTGTTCTTAATTGCATTGTTTAATTCTAAAATCTATTTAAATTACTGAAGACATACCTACTAGTTTGAAGTACTGCTGCATTCTAAAATGTGGAAAGAGTAGGCAGCCTATGTTTGTTAGGAAATAGCTTGCATACCAGTATTCTGCCACTGCAGTTATTTGTTGGACTGACAGTTAAACTTCACTGGTAACAAGTACTTTTGATTCAGAAGCCAGAATATTATAGATAGAGTGGCTCTGAAGAGCAATTAATTTATTGGTATAACTCTTATCACCTATTCTTGACTGTACTTAAACCCTTTTACTTAAACTCACACGTTTATGCTTTCTTTTTTTTTTTTTTTAATTCTGGTAACAAGTAAACCAAACCACCTCCAAGGAACATACTAGCTACCAGTATAAACAGATTTTCCTAATTTCAGAATACTCTTCAGTAGCAAATAGTTTGTAAACTTTCCCTTACCATCTCCAACCTAAAATTGTTATTCTTTTTTCTATGACTAGGATTATCCAATCCGCTCTGTTGAAGACAGGCACAAACTGGCTGCTCAGGGAAAATTTGTAACTACGGAATTTGAGCCATGCTTTGATGCTGCTGACTTCATGAGAGCTGGAAGAGATATCTTTGTACAAAGGAGCCAGGTAAAAAAAGGTTTCTTCCACCAGTTTTGGTATCTATCTTAATGATTGGTACTTGTATTTATGTCTTTATAAATTCCTGAACAGCATTAAAGTAATAGTGTTGACAAAAGAAATATTTGTAGAGTGTCTGATACATAGGATGAGACTGTGTTACAGCTATGAGGTTAGCTAAAGGCACAAACGTCTATAATTTTAGCTTTAGATATTTATTTAAATAAAACCTAAGCTTGGATGCAGTTTATATTCTAGCCTAGTGAAACTTACTTTGTTCTGTTTTCAGGTTACAAATTACATGGGCATTGAATGGATGAGGCGACATCTTGCACCAGACTATAGAGTGCATATAATATCCTTTAAGGATCCTAACCCTATGCACATTGATGCCACTTTTAATATAATTGGACCTGGTCTTGTGCTCTCAAACCCAGACCGTCCCTGCCATCAGGTAAGAGTGTAGCAGAGGGGAAAGTGTTTTGTGTTTGAAAATGAGTCATCTGGATTAGGTGCCTGCTGGATAATTGCTAATCCACAGGTTTATTTTGTATACCCTTGAATAATATTAAGTTATTGAATTTAAATAACATTCAGATAATTCTTCAGGAACTTATAGATGCATTTGCATCTTGTCTCTAGAACTTTCTCAGCAGTGTAATGACCATTGTTCTCATCCAGTTTCCTGCTACTGCTCTTTGTGCTTTCTTATTGTGAGGCTTAGTGGCTGTGTTGTGTGTTTCTTAAATATGATGGAAGTGATTTATTTTGTAATAATACGGTATCAAAGCAAGTACATAGGATATACTACTTCTTTGAACACTTCCACTACTTAAATATATTAATTGTATCCAAGGAGAAATTGAGGGTTTTCTGCTGTTCAGATGAATAATCGCTCTTTTTATTCTTATTTTGGAAGCCTCTCCTTCGGTATTGTTAACTGTACCAATAGCAGGAGGCTGGTAATTGCTCAGGCATTCAGCTTTGAGTAACTGAGTGAGAAATACTTGTTGAAGAGTTGGAAAGAGGAGAGACATGGTTTGGTATGTAAGACCAACACTTCTAAAGTGAAGAAGTCTTCTAAACTTCAAATCTGAGAAAAAGCTTAATATTCCTTAACAGTGCAATCAGATCAGAAAGCTCTCCAGAGAGTAAGAGCTTATCTCTGTTACAGACATGTTACCTGTGCTGTCAGTGCTTGAGGTTTCTTGTGAGAATCCCCATGATTTCACGAGCTGTTACAACCACATGGGAATAGCTGGGCCAATACTAAATCGGTGGGTAAGAGCTGTGTGCTGCAGAGATAATGAAACCATGTGCACAGCATAGCTCTTAGGAGCAATATTAGTCTCCTCTCAGCAAGTGGCTGGAATGCAGATGGTCCCATTGAATTACTGCCTCTTGTAATATCCATTATGAGAACATGCTTTTTTTTAAAAAAAGCATAGTATTTTCCTCCCCTTTTCCCTTCCCCTGTTTTTCATAATCTTGCTTGCAAGAGGAGGCTCTTGGTCTGCTTGTGCTAAACCCACGTGCTGGGACTTTTTGAATGGAAAGCTTCTGTCTGTGTAGATAGGAAAGATAGATGCAGCTTTCTCTCATAAGAACTGATTTGGCAGTTCTGGATGACCAGGAAATGGGGGTGAGGTGCACGTGAAAGGGGACTTTTCTTTAAGGTCCTGGCAGGCCAGGCTGGTTATTTGAGTTTTCAGAATCGGAGCTCCACCTCGTGGTACACTTGAATAAAGCGCTCTTCCAAGTATTCAGGCAATGAAGTTGAAAAGTCAATTCTTAGCCGAATTATCTTCCTCTTACTTTTAACTTAACTGTGTAATTGTTAGAGACACAAATTATTCCCTAGGATGCCTTTATTTTGTTCCCTTTGTTAAATAAACGTCATATTGAGTTTCTTACGAAGCATGATGTAAGCGTAATTTTATTTAGTATTTTTGGTGGCTTTGTTTCTGTAAATGACAGTGTAATTCATATCAATGGCTTTTCAGTCACATGGGAAGAAACAATAGAATAAAGAAATCAATTAATCCCTTTGTGCTGTTACTAGTATCTTTACTTCACAGGCTCTAAACTGCATGTTACCTATTGTCTTTAACATATCTTAGTATACCTAACATATATAAAACCAGCAGAAACAAATGCTAGTGATAGGGAAAGTTTGGAAAGGCTTTCAAAAAATGCTTTTATGAAAACTGGGTTTGTAGGTGGAACTTGAATGAGGGTGAGAGTAGTGAATGGAGGGAAAGGGATGTCTGCATATTGAAGTAGCCTGAGAAAATGTGGCATAGGTTGGAGGACATAATGTGATACTTTATGAACCCTGTTTAGGATCGAATTAAATTGCTCTTTCAGATTGAGCTCTTCAAGAAAGCAGGCTGGACCGTGATTCGCCCCCCAGTGCCACTCATTCCAGATGGTATATTCACTCTTTCTTTTTTAAGAATTCCAAGACTATTCTTAAGAGTATTAATATGGGACAACATATTAGGTGGTGTTGTGTTGATGGTTGGATTTGATGATCCTTGAGGTCTTTTCCAACCTTAATGATTCTATGAACATTGGTACAGTAGAAGGTTCATTCTCGTGTGTTTAGATCACCCACTGTGGATGTCTTCTAAATGGCTCTCCATGAACGTCTTAATGCTGGATGAGAAACGTGTGATGGTGGATGCCAATGAGACATCAATTCAGAAGATGTTTGAAAATCTGGGTATGTCCTAACATTTTCCAACATGTACTTAAAATTAAATTATCTTGATATCAGCTATACACATCAGGATGAAAGTAGTCAAAGCAGCCAGCACTGGAAAAGGTACTCAACCAAATGCATTAGCAAGTAAGAATCATTCAGTGATTTCTCTCCTGAATACTTGAGTATATGAATATGGGCTTTTTACGTCTTGTGCCCCCTACACTTGCAGCAAATGAAGGTATGAGTAGCGATTAAAGTTACTGCTATCACGCTTTTGAATGAGCTCTTTTAATGTAAAACTGTCCGTTAAGTTTTGAGGTCAAAATCTGTCTTGGAGAGGTTGAGTGCACATATTGCTGAGTGATGCATAGCTGGCTATCCCTCATTGCCAAAATGCTTTCAGATTTTTCTAGTTTCAAAGTCATTGTACTTTAAACTGTCAAATTGAGACCACTTAACCCAGGTATTTCTGCTCATTTATGGAGAATCTTGGTCCTGTGAGAGGTAGCCTTATGATAGGATAGAATTCCTTTAGATATGCAGTGTCTGGAGAACTGTAACTGAATATAAAATCTGAGTGTCTTATTATGTACAGCTCACCGCAAAGACAAATAATATAGACTTAAAAATCTGAACTCATGCAGTTAATCCAACTGCTTCCGTCATGCTGGGAGGGAAAAATGCAAGTAGATTTATCTGTGGCTCATAGTAGGAGGGTAGCCAGATTGATTGGTGCTACAGCCAGCTGACTATTGCTGCAGGTACATGGTGATGCAAAAGTTGACAGGGTAGAAAGAAGACCGGTAGATAGATGAGAAGTCAAGGGAAGTGAGGGATCATTGTGTTGTCGAGTAAAAGATAATACTCCCCAGTAGCAGAAGACTCCTTTAAAGGGAGAAAAATGATGGGAAGGAGAGAATGATCCAAAGGTAGAAGATAGCAATTGTGAACCTAGAAGAAGGGTGGTGCCATGGATGTGAGTGCACTTACTGAAGCTTACATTAAATCTGAGATGATTGCAGGTGAGAACCATGCAATCTAATGCTTTAATCTGCTTTTAAAGACTGGCTATACAACCTTTAGTGCATCACTTAGCTTTTCAATCTTAGGTTGTTTCAATTCTCTGCATGACCAAGGAGCTGAGAATTTATAAAATGCTTGAAAGTACTTTAAAAATTAGGCTATTAATGCTAATCATGACATCTTTCATGCTTGAACTTCACAGTCTATATGAGCTCTAAATAAACTCTGGTAGTCAGTAAGCTCCTAGGACTGAGATGGGTCTACTGGGAACAAAACTGCTGCTGACCTATATGATAGCTTCTGCTGAGCTGCTCCTGACAGTGCCAAGAAACAAAAAGGCAAACTTCATAACAGAAAAGTCTTCTGATCCTAGTCTATCTGTTAGGATTTTGTATAAGCTGAGTCACAGCTGAAACGTCAGAGCAGAAAAGAAGTGGGAGGAAGCCTAACCTAGGTAATAACAGCCTCTTTCCCCTTTCAGAGCTCTATACTTTGAATGCTTCTTTTCTTGAATGGCCCTTGAAAGCACATTCAGTGCTTCTGAACCATAAATACTCACACAGATTTATGTAAATGTGCCCTGGTCATATATTGTAGCAGAATATCAGCTAAATTCTTTATATACCACGAAACCAGAACTTTTTATTACTGGCACATTATAACACACCAAACACCATCCGTGCTCCAGGCACTGTGTATTCCTGAAGGTATTGCTGGAATAAACAAGCCAGCTATGTTCCTAGCTTGTTCTCTGCCTAGAGTTTGGGAAAATAAATTCTTAACCAATGAGTAGGAAATACTTTCCATACTTGCATCTAGCCATATGGTCTGATAAAGCGTTATCTGATGTTCTGATCAAAGCTTACCACATGAATTTGAGATTTTAATTTTAAAGTATGTGATGTATGTTTCTTGCAGGCATTTCTACAATTAAAGTGAATATTCGCCATGCCAATTCATTGGGAGGTGGCTTCCATTGCTGGACATGTGACATCCGCCGCCGTGGTACCCTGCAATCTTATTTTGACTAGTTATGAGCCAGATATGTAGCAATGGTTCAGCTTCTAAAATAGGCATAGGAAATGAACAAATTAATTTAATTCTTGTTAAAATGACTGCATGAGCTCTAGTGCTTGATCAGTGGTGTCCTTACAGTGGTCTGATAAATGATTTATTCTTACATACTCTTCACTTTCAGCAGTACAATTGAAATTACTTCCATCAGCAATACAGGTTTTCTGTCTGGCTTTCTGAAAGACATCCTTCATCTATGAAGCCTTTCCACATTGGCTTTGAATGTAAAAACTTGACAAGATAGCTAAAAGGTCATGCTAGAATAGCTTGGCCACTAATATTGGACATCTACCTCTGTCCAGTTGCTCTATCAAATAGGCAGCTTGAAATGTTAAACTTGAGTAAACTTTTCTTATTCCTTTTAATCAGTCTATTGTTCCAATACATTCGTGTTTAATGAAGTTAAACTAGATGCAATTGTACAGATTTCTTATAGAATCAAGCAATTTTATAATGTTTTTCATGTCAAGCCGTACAGATATTTACAGAGAATTTCCAGTATGATCTAACTTTTAAGACATGTTCACTTACTTGCCATGTCCTCCTACATTTTCTTCTGATGCATGTCATGCATCTGAATACTGTTTTTTAATATTGTTTTTTGTATTGCTGAAATTGTTTTTTATTTAAGTGTACAAATGATAGCTAATATTCTGCTTGTACAGGTTTCACTCTGAATTGTTTACATAACTTTAAAAAAAAAACCAAAACACCAACAACTCCCCTCTAACCCTAAACCTCTGACATCTTGCAACCCCTTCTTCCTCCAGCCGTAGCAGATACAGGATGTATCAAACATGCCAGATGCTGTGAAGGTATTTGAGTATTGATTACTGAACATGTATTTTTTAATGCTAATAAAGTTTTTTTGCATTGTCAATTTGTTGCCCTTCTGAAAATGAAGATGCATGAGATGTCTGGATGGGTACATGTTTGTAGAATACAGATGGAAGTACAAAATATACATGGATTTTTTTTTTCCCTGTAAAACATGTAACATCTTAGTTACTTGTATGATGCAGAAAACCCTTGTACTATATTGTTGATTTAGTATGTTTCTGCTTCGGTTTTGCACTGAAGTATGACTGGTGGGGGAAAGTAACACTAATAGATGTTTCTTACCAGAATTTAGTATGTTTCTGCTTCTGTTTTGCACTGAAGTATGACTGGTGGGCAAAGTAACACTAATAGATGTTTCTTACCAGAGTGTGGAGGAATCTGCTAAGCCAGATAATGCAGTGCACCTTGACAGAAAAGCTGCTGGGCATAACATGCTCACATATAAGCCCTATGGCCATATTTTACCCAGAGTTGGGTACAACTGAACAGGTTATATACATCAACAATCTAGAATGCTTTAAAATATGACACTCTGGAAAAGCTAACGAGACAGCTGCCAGCACTTGACCATGTAGAGATGCTCTCTTTTCCCTTAAAAGTCAAGGTTTTTTAGACAATGGAAATTCATCTCAGTCTTCTTGTAACCAAGCTTTGCTTTCCAATACTGACTATGCAGGTGGACAGCTGTGCAGAGCAGTGTGTACAGCAGGTCATCTTTCCCAGTGTTCTGCATGCTGTAGTGCTGAAATGATGTCTTTGTGCTTGGCACAAGCTGAAACCATAAAAAACTCTGTCAAAATGTGGATTAGTAGCAGGACACATGCACTCCTGATACCTCCAGGATTAAGGAGGCTATACTTTCATATCATGTTACACATCAACTCTACTTGACAGGGCAGTGGAGCTCTATATGAACATTACAAATGTTCTGTCTTCATCTCAGTGTACTCTTCTGAAGCAATTGTTGTATAAGACCATTACAGTTTCTTTTTCCCCCCTAAATGAACATGACTGGCATCCAGTGATGAAAGTACTGCATGTGCCATGACCTTAATGTTTCCTTTCTCTGGAAAACATGCTACAATCCACTCTGATGTGATAATTTATTTCTTGTTCTTCAGAGCAATAGGAGAAGAAGGATTGGAGGTACATCTGCCTGTTTATTCTGATAATGAAGGTGTAGGTCCTTCAAAAATAGCATCGTCTGGAGATTTTGACATCACAGAGAAATATTCAAGACACGTTTAGTTTCAGCAATGGAGTAAAAGCTTAAGTTTAGTTCCCATGTGTTACATTTCCATGGAACCATGTACTCTTTGAATCTACTCAACACTTACTTGTTTTCCTAGGGTTTAAAGAAAGTGTAGTAATTATTACTTTGATGGCAAACACATAAGTTCTAATGCTGTCACAAAGCTGTCTTTACAGCAGGCCTGTCTCTCTGATGTTTTTTCTTCAGTGCATTTTAGGAAGCTGAAGTAAGCAATTCAACCAAACCAAAGTACTGACTAGGAAGTTTAGGCTTCTAGTTTAACAGGAAAGCAATGCTTTTACTATGCTTTCTTCTTTAGACTGTGACAAAAAATAGGTTTCAAAGCTTCCAATATAATAGTTTAGCTTTAGCCTTCTTATTTGTAATAGTAATTTGAAGAGCAGCTTCAAGAATTAACGAGGAGTTGTGTTGTTTTACTTAGGTGAAGTTCATACACAGATTAGCTG